CCAACTCAGTTTTTCTTTAAGCGTAAAGAGAGCCCTAAATAATAATCTTGACCAGCGGTGTTCTTCCATATTTTTTAGTCTATAAAAGTAAGTTAATAATCTTTCTGATTGAATAGATTCAATTGTTTACCAGCCAAGTTCACCATATAAGGCTTCCTTTGCGACATATCTGGGTGCTTTTAATAGGTATCTGGCCATTTGGTATTGTAAATTTTCAATTTTGTCAATAGATGTTTTGTTATTGCAAAACCATATACTGCTTGCATAATTTATAGTTGGTATTCCAATCGCTTTCCAAAGAATATCCCCATAATATACGGTATTCTGTTAAAATGTTCCTGTCCATTAATAATAGATTTTATATACTATATTACTCTATTTCCCTTTTTAACTATTTCATCTATGGGACAGGTATCTTTTATTTTTCTAGATATAAACATTCCCAAATATTTATAATTATTAGTTTCATTAATGAAATTATTACCAATTGGCCATTTCCTATATATATTAAAGCGTTGCCCAGTTACAATGACATTGGACTTATCAAAATTAAAAATCATTTTCCATTTTGTAGCAAAATCATTTGCCGCATTCAAAAGTAATTCTAAATCTTGCTCACTATCTCCAATTAAAATAATATCGTCTGCTCAGAATAAACTGCCGATTTTTACATCAAAAATATTTATACCTAAACCTCTTTCCTTAATAATTTTATTGAGCTCATTAATGTATATGGTGAATAGAATTGGAGATAGTGGGCAACCTTGTTTTACACCTTCGTCAATATTAAAAACATCTGTTTCATGGTCACCAAATGAAACCTTTCCTTTTACATCTTTATATAAGTTTTTAATGATGTTCAATAGTTTACCTTTAATGCCTATATTGTTTATTGCATAAAAGAGTATGTACAGCACATTTCGTGTTGATGACGAGGACGTTGCCGTTAGATACCGGTACATGATAGCAGGGTCCCACATGGAATTTTTATTCTATTGAGACAGTAACTTTTCAGCATTGCTCTAAGATGATTTTCCTTTTTACATATGAATTTTTTAGCTTTTCGTACTCTACACTTGGCTATCCGAAGCCAACCACATAGGCCTAGGTACGTAATATATTAGATCAGATGTTCATTACATAAAATGTAGGCCGACAGTCGTATTTAATGGGGGAGGAGCGGATTTCTTTTTTCGCGATTTACCATGGGATGGCTACTGAGGCATGATTAAAAGTGCCTTTCATTTTCAATGGATTACATTCGATGGATAGCCCAGTAATGAGATATTTTGTTTAGATCTCACAGCGTGTTCCATGTACCTCCTCCATTTATTTATTAAAACATTGCCTATAATCTAGTAATGTACTAGTATATTATTTAATCTAGTAATGTATATATTTAAAAACATATTGGGCAAATATTCATACTACTTAATACTGTACAGGTGTCATATACGTATGTATGTATGTGTATGTATGTATATATATATATATATATATATGTACTGTATATGTATATATATATATGTATATATGTATATATATGTATATATATGTATATTTATATATGTATATGTATAGATATATATATAGATACTATGTATATATATGTATGTATATATATGTATATGTATATATATATATGTATGTATATATATATATATATATATATATGTATGTGTACGTATATATATATGTATGTATATGTATATATGTATGTATGTATATATGTATGTATATGTGTGTAGCGGGTGACCATTACTTGAATTAAGCGAATCCGCCACTTAATTCGTCGTGGGGGCTCGGGTTCCAGTTACGCGCAGGCTCAGTCGGTAGATGTTTACATATATGGCCACAAATAAAACAAGAGGAACCTTTTCTAGTTATATACTTAATAATGATTTATCGGGCAATGGATAAATTGTATATGTATGTATATATATGTATATGTATATATATATGTATGTATATATATATATGTATGTGTACGTATATATATGTATATATGAATGTATGTATATATGTATGTATATGTATATATGTGTATATATGTATATATATATATGTATATATATATATTTATATATACGTATATATGTATATATATATTTATATATATATATATGTGTATATATATAATGTGTGTATGTATGTGTATACACATATATATACACACATACATATATATACATATATAAATATGTACATATACATATATACACATACTGTACATATATACATATATACATATATATATATACATATAAACATACATACATCAAGATCTGACGTCAGCCAAGAAGTTATAACTCCTTGACTAGAAAGTATTGGTTGGTCACATGGTCATATATTTATATAGCGCCTTTCACAGAAAACCGTTTCAAGGCGCTTTTGAAGCCACAAGA